GCAGGAATCCCAACCCTCTGTTTTGGGTCAGTCTCTTTCCTGCCCATGCTGTCATATTCCTCCTTTAAGAACTGGTCTTGGGGGCCCTGACTGAGGTGCAACGGCCCCTCCTGAGGTCAGTCTGCAAACACAGGTGGCTGCCTGGGCGACGGTGTGGTGCACTTCACTGGAGGACACTGGTCTTTCCATTTGCAGCCTGCACCATGTTCCTCCTGCCTCAGGGCCTTTGCACAGGTAGAATCGTCTTCCAGAAAGATCATTCTTCACTGCTGCCCTGAATTTATGTCATGAATTCTACCTCAGCCTTCAGCTCACGGTCACCTCTCCAGGGTCTCTTTCCTCCCTGACACGCAGAGATCAGAGTCTCACCCTGATTTTTTTTTTTTTAAATAAATTTATTTATTTATTTTTTGCTTCCTTGGGTCTTTGTTGCTGCACACTGGCTTTCTCTAGTTGTGGCCAGCAGGGGCTATTCTTCGTTGTGGTGTGCGGGCTTCTCATTGCGGTGGCTTCACTTGTTGCGGAGCGCAGGCTCTAGGCACGTGGGCTTCAGTAGTTGTGGCACGCGGGCTCAGTAGTTGTGGCTCGCGGGCTCTAGAGCATAGGCTCAGTAGTTGTGGCACACAGGCTTAGTTGCTCCGCGGCATGTGGGATCTTCCCCGACCAGGGCTCTAACCTGTGTTTCCTACATTGGCAGGCGGATTCTTAACCACTGCGCCACCAGGGAAGTCCCTCACCCTGATTTTCATAAGCCCCGCACGTTTTCTCTGTAGCACGTGTTGCTGTTTGTAGTCACATTCTCCTGTGTCTTTTTCCTGACGACCAGTGCCTCTCCCACTGGACTCTTAGCTCTGCAAGGTTAGGGATGTGTCTTCTTCTCACAGCGTCTGGCACATGGCAGTTCTCAGCAGCTATTTGTTGAGTGATTAAGTGAACAAAGCACAAGCTGGGGTGTAAGCTGGAGGAAGTGGAGCACTGAATGTGGAGGTGGCCAGGGGATGGGGACGGGGGATCTACCTCCCACCTCCTTTCCCTGCCATGCAGGGTCAGAAAGCAAGAAATTAAATTCTCCAGCCTAGAATGACTTCGATACTTCTCCTTCCTTGGCCAGGAGAGAGGAGACTCTGCCCTGCCCCTGGCTGCTCCCTTACCTTACCTGGTGTCAGAGGGTCTAGTGACACCCCACCTCCCCTGTCTTGTAGTTGGCTTGCCTTGCCCCTCTGCCCTGCAAGGTGTGGAGACCCAGAAGGGAAAGGCCTGAACCCCCCCGGCCCCGGCCCCACACTCTAGTCAGCCTGCCTCCACTGCCTGCCTCCTGACCCCTCTGCAGCCTGATGACTGCCATGGGGCAGAAGCTGTGTGATGCTCTCTCCTAGTATTTAAACATCCAGCTCAGCTAACATTGGCCAAGCACTGGGTCCTCTATCTACATTTTCTCCCCTCCCTCAAGCAATGCCACTTCTCACAGCTGCGTGCTTGAGAGCTGAGTTGTGTTCCCTGGGCTTAAGGTAGTCATTTCCAGTGTCAAGGGGAGGGCATTAGCTGGGGCACCAGCTTTCTGAGAAAGGTCGTTGCAGGCACAGGGATCCACACAACCTGAGAGCCTGTGTCTTCTAGCAAAGCTTAACACTGCCGAGGAACCTGTGAGCATCATCGTTTCAGTCCCACCCCCATACGCTCTCATTGAAAGTGGGTGTAAATATCCGGGCTGGTGGTAGGACTAGGCCTGAAATGAACCTTCCTGAGAGCAAGGCTGCTATCACAAAGTGCCACAGACAGGGGGCTTCAACAACAGAATTTTGTTTCTCCCAATTCTGGAGGCCAGAAGTCTGAGGTCAAGGTGTCTGCAGGGTTGGTGTCTTCTGAGGTCTCTTTACTTGGCCTATAGATGGCTGTCTTCTCCCTGTGTCTTCACATGGTCTTTCCTCTGTCTGTGTCTGCGTCCTAATCTCCCCTCATTATAAGGACACCAGTCATGTTGGAGTGGGGTACACCCTATGGGCCTCATTTTAACTTAGTCATCTCTCTAAAGGCTTTCTCTCCAATACAACCCCATTCAGAGGTCCTGGGGATTCGGGCTTCAGTATAGGAATCTGCAGGGGACGCCGTTCAGCCCGTAACAAGGGTCTTGCACTTCAGTGGGAGAAATGTGCCTGGGCCATTTGTAAGAGAGTATGGGGCTAACTGAAGGCAGAGAGGCACACCAGTAAAGAAAGAACGAGGGCTCCTCTGGGGAAGATGGTTCAGTCCGTTCCCTTTCCTGGGAGCTGCTGACTCGGCCTGAACTGCAGAAGAGGAAGAGATACTAGTTCGCCTCTAGGATGGAATCTGGCCTCTCATGGGGACTGGAGCACTTGGCACATTCTCCTGGTTTCAGTCACTATAAATAATCCCTCCTTCATGCAGCATTCATAGGAGGAGGCTAGGGTGTGGGGTCCTGGCTGTGCTCTCATCCCATCCATATTGTTTCAATTTCCTGCCTTCCCCAGCTCTCCTTGCCTCCAGTGGGGAGCGCTCGGGGGCGGGCAGAGCGGGACGTCAGTTCTGGAAGCCAGCTGCTCCATCTCTGCTGCTCTCGACCTGCCGAACCCCCCGGGCAGCTAGTGGAGTGGGGTCAGCCTGGTGTTCCCGGCTGTGTGGCCACTCACCAGGGAACTCCTGCTGTGGGACCCGTGTGAACTTCAGCCTGGATCCTGGCATTCGGGGAAAATGCTTTTGGACTAATTTAACATGGTGTGTGGGCAGGGTGGGGGCCGGGTGGGTGAGGTGCGGGGAGACGGTAAGGTCAGTTCCTCCTCTTTTTGTCCTGCGTGAGTGACTTGTGTGGACAGTGACATTGTTACTCGGGAGCGTGTGCCTTCCTTGGTTACCTGTTGATCTGCATTCCCCGTGTATCTCCCTGGGCGGCTTTGTCCTTTGTCACTGTAGACCTAGAAGACCTCGTTCTTGTCCACAAAGAGCTGGGTCCAGCCAAGCATCAACCTTTTTCTTCTGAATTGACTTCCATCTTTTTTTTTTTTTTATGGTGACAAAAAAACTATCATAGTGCAGTGAGTTGAATAATGACCCCCAAAGATGTCTGCGTCCTCATCCCTGGAACTATGAATGTCACCTTATATGGCAAAAGGTGCTTCATGGGTGTGATTAAGTTAAGGATCTTGGAGTATCCTGGAGTGTCCCGGTGGCCTGGCTTTTAAGAGATGAGAAAGAAAATGAGGTGAAATTGATCCTCAAGTCATCTCTCTCGAGGTGTTTAGTTTATTAAATCAATAGCGGAAACCATACGTAAGGATGAGCTTATTGCCTGGGTTTTTACAGTGAAGGATACTTTGTAGGTCACACTCCCCCCCAATAACCACCACCCCAACACACACAGGGCCTCACCTTGTTGACTCACAGCCTCTTCATAGTAGAAGGTCCAAATCTTTGCTCTCCTTTTCATCCTTCCTCCTTGCTTACCTGCAGCACTGACCAGAGTTCAAAGCTTTGGGTGACTCTGCCATCAGGGCCCAAGTCCCTTCATGTGACCAGAAGGTGGTGTTTGGGGGCCATTTGTAATTTGGGATGACCTTGAGGGCACCCGCTCGAGCACTGGAGTGGGCAGGGAATGGTGCTTCCTGGAGTCGTGTGCTGGGCAGCGCAGGGGTGACGATGTGGGACCTGGTGAGAAGACAGCCCAGCTTGGACAGAAGGAAGGTCTGGGCATCCTGTCCCTTTCTGGGCTCTGCCTGCCAGGAGGAGGTTCCCCCGACCGTGAGCTCCGGAGCTGCACCGCCACACTGCACAATCCTTGCAGACGCCATGCAGCGCGTCTCCTGGGAGAAGGCCTCTGTGAGGGCGGCTAGGCTGGATGATCTTGGGTGGCCAGGGAGTGGCACTCTCAAAAGTCAGCTTGGGGCAGAATGGCGGCTAGGAGGGGCAGCCCTAACTAAGAAGCCAAAGGACAGGAAGTAGCGGCCTGGGCCTGGCATCCTGGAGCGTCTTTTGGGTTGCCGGGAGAGTCTGGCACCCCTCCCTGCTCCCGGGCTCATTCATTCTTTATTCTTGCACTTGCAACTCCTTGACCATGGATCCTGGTCCTAAGAGACTTGGAGCAAGAAACTGAGACACCCCCGTCATTCCAGCTCCCTAGTACTAGTTTAACACCCGCCTGACCAGTACTGATAATCTGCCTTGGTTACAGTTGAAATACCTGAGACAGGGAAAGGGGCTACAGCATTTTCCACTCACGGAGGTGATGAAACTGATGGAAGCAGGCCTTGGGAGGCAGGTGGGGAGGGGGGATTGGATGTGAGCTGGAAATTTTTAAGAGCTTCCCCAAATCCAAATCTTTATGTGATATCTCCTGAATTTTAAATGTCAGCGAGTAATTAAAATTAAAAAAAATACATCTGGGCCAGGTGGTCCATGGCATCCCGCTTGGCTGGGATCATCTCATAGATGAGGACGTGGGTACCCACAGAGGCACACGACACACCCCAAGGAGGGCTCTTTCGAGAAGGCAGAGTGAGCACAGAGGGGATGGGGGTGGCCCACCTCTCTGGCCATGCAGACCAACCTGGCTCCTGGAGAGAAGATGCCATGTGTGTTCACCTGGGGAAAGGCGGTGGCCTTCCTCATTTTCTTCTTTCCTTTTTTCTCTGCAGAGGTCTGTGGGGCCCTCAATGTCACCGTGTCGCCGGGGCCCGTGGTTGACTACCTGGAGGGGGAAAATGCTACTCTTCTCTGCCACGTCTCCCAGAAGAGGCGGAAGGACAGCTTGCTGGCCGTGCGCTGGTTCTTTGCGCGCCCGGACTCCCAGGAGGCCCTGATGGTTAAGATGACCAAGCTCCGGGTGGTGCAGTACTATGGGAATTTCAGCCGCAGCGCCTACCGTCAGAGGCTGCGCCTCCTTGAGGAGCGGCGCGGGGTGCTCTACACCCTCTCCGTCTTGACCCTCCGGCCAGCCGATCAAGGGCATTACGTCTGCAAAGTCCAGGAAATCAGCAAGCACAGGAATAAGTGGACAGCTTGGTCCAACGGCTCCTCGGCGACAGAAATGAGAGGTAAGGGTGCATCCACTCTCTGGGGAGAGTGGGAGGGTGACAGGTCAGTGGGCCTCCCTCCAGCTGGCCAGGCAGTGGCCTCCAGGACGGCTCTGCTGAGCTAGAACATCTTTTTGGCCTCTAAGGGCCAAGCCATGTGAGGCAGGCCATGGGAATGAGGATAGATCTTTACATGGATGCTGTGGCTGACTTGTATTGTAGGCGTGGAAGGCTGAACAGAAAGGGGGAAGTGTCTGGCCCCATGCCACCCAACCCACCCCTGGCCAAAACCTGTTTTGCAGCTGAAAGATTGGTCTGGCTGTGTTCTTTACCTCCAGCTCAGGTCTTCACAGCCTTGATCACTTTGCCTGGCAGGGTGCTGGGCACCTATGGGAGGAGGCCCGTATTGGGAGGTCCTGATGCCTGATGTGAGTTGCCAGGCCTCAGAGCAGGGCAGCCTCAGTGGCTCTGACCCATCGCCCCGAGGAACTGATCCAGGCCTCCGGCAACAGCTCACTGAGAAATTCATCGGAAAATGGGCAAGGGACCAGAGGTGGCCCTCCCTTCCTGGAGACAGATAGGAGGCGTGGGCCGCGTTCTGGAAGAACTTAGCTACCAAGTGCCATATTTGAGGGCTATCGTTTTTTGCCACTGATGTTCCATTCAAGAAGACACCTCTCACAATTTTAATAAGACTGGCTACTGTGTACTAAAATTACATCTTTGAGTGCTTGGAACCTGAATTTGGTCTGGTAGAAGGTCAAGAGAATCACAGAGTAAAGCTGATGATCCCAAGTGTGAAAAAGAATCTAATTTTGTTGTGTACATGTCATATAATATTAAAGGCATTAGTGATGTTGTTGAAGGGATAAAACTCAGTTGTGAATAGGCATTTTTAATATCCTGTATGTTAAAGTAAATAATTTACATGGATAGTCCAACTTCATTTGTCTTTGGAGTTTGCTTATTTTAATGTTCTTAAGCACGGAATGATATATCATCTGAAATGTTGTGCACTTTTTCTCCTTAAGCAAATTAATTCAGGAAAACAAATGACTATTAATATAAGTATGTATTTTGGCACAGAAAATAGAAGAATACATCGGATGGCCACAGGCTAAGGAGGGAATCCACTCTGGACATTACTTGGCTCTGAAACATAAGATCTTATATCTGCCCTTTTAATTTTTATGTCTGGGTGTATTCCGGAGCCGTGTAGTAAATCTCTCGGCAGTGACGACCGCTCTGCCAGTTAGAATAGATAAAAAGATTTCCTACATTCAAGTGAGTGCCGTCATCAAGTGCGTTATTTCATGTGCGTCTACTTTCAGTGAATGAAGCTGGGTTCCTTCTAGAACATTTTTTTGGGTACGTGCTGCAAAAACCTGAGGTGGTTCTTAAGACTTCAGTGGAACTAATCTCTTTTCCCCACTTCTCGGTACTTTGATTTGCTCTTATGAGTGGAAGGGGAAGGGGTGGAGTTACAAGGCGTGTCCAGGGAATTGTGTGTAAACTGCAGCCTGTCACGTCCCTGCTGGTCCCTGAGATGCTGGCTCCTGACGAAGTCCAGCTTGTTAGCCACGTGCTTGCAGAGTGCTTTACCAGTGTAATGCAAAATGAGAAACTGGAACAGAAATTTAAGAACAGACCAAATAACAATTTCCCCCCATAATTGCAGTGTTACTTGCTTTATTTTACTCTGTGTGTTTTTGAGTTTCCCCCAAATCAGAGTAAGTCCTTGAGCATGTGTGTGTGTGGTGAAAAAAAGAAAAAAGAAGCAATTATTGGGGAAAAAAAACGATGTTAATAAATAAATTTGTCATGACTTTTTTCCTGAAGACACCTCTTCAGGAAAAAAATATTGGCTATATGGGGCTAAAAAAATATTGGCTCTATTAATTTGGAACAAAGCATCGGCTCTATTAATTTGGGACAAAGCATAAGTTGCCACTTTATGTTTTAACTGTGCGAATTATTAAAATATGATGGCGAATTGGGGATTTTGAAGAATGGGGAACTAGTAAACTTGGGTTTGTCTGGAAACCGCATATGTATGAGATCGTGGGTGGGGAGAGCTCCTGACTCCAGTGTTGTTGGTACCAAACAATACGATAAATAATGAAGAATGAAAATGTGTGATCTCTGGATGACAGTGGAGTCACGCTTGGCTTATTTTAGAGAACCTGTCATACCACGTGAACTTAGTGTCATTTTTATCACACAGAGGTAGAAGGAAAGGCAAGGAATGTTACACAGTTTCTTCAGTTGCTTATGCCGTGTGACCATTTCACTGAGCCAGAAGCCCTGCCTGCAGAGGATGTGGATCCAAAAGCCCTAAGTGACACATGGTGTTGGAACCCTCTGGCGCGGTTTCCAGGAGGGCTGATGTTAGGTTTGATTTCATTTCATTGTTTTATCAATGACATTGAAAAGGGGGCACACATCACCTTAATGGACTTTACAGAAAGTACAAAATTGGGAAGTTCTTAACATCAGCAAGGAGTAAAACATAATGAAAAGGGAATCCAGGGAGGTAAGAAATACGAGCAGGAAATACCAGAATGAGATTCAATTTGGAAAATGGCAGAGTGATACATTTGGGGAAAACGAATCACAGGCAGTGTTGGAGAGTCAACGGGAGGCTCTCTGTGAAGGGATTTCGGTGATGTCGGTGGTGAATTAGATGCGCATCTGCAGGGTGATATGGCAGCAGGAGCAGCCTGTGTTATTTCCGTCCGCATACAGTCAGTTGGCCTGGTGTCCCTGAGAAGGAAGTTGGCTGTGTCATGTGTACTGTGCTGGGGAGACACTAATGTGGACTACACCGTCCGTTTGGGGAACCTCACTTTCAGAAAGATAGATTCAATCTAGAGAAGAGTAGCAAACATGACGAGGAAATGAGTGGCAGCCTTCAGAGAGATGATCAGTTCAGCTGAGGAAGCTTCGCTGGGCTCAGCGAAGACATCGCATTGGAAAATAATATGGACTACAGTGTTCCGCAGTGCTCGGTAGATTCATTTATGTCTCACTCAGTGGGCATTTATTTTATGGTGCATCTGCTCTGCTGGAAACTTGGGGACACAGGGGCGGGTCTGTCTAGAGGGTGGCAGATACAGAAACAGATACGATGTCATGGAGTCAGGTGCCGTGATAAAGGTGTGCATGGAGCATTGTGCACACGCACAGGAAGGCCCCTAAGGATGAGGCAGGGGGCAGTGCTTGAGCGGACACTGGCTGTTTACGTGGGGCAGGGAGCCAGAGGGGACGGTAAATCAGTGGATGGAGGGCCCTACAGCCATGCGTCAGGACTGCTGGAGCCTGAACAGGAGGGTCGGGCCGGCAGTGGGTAACAAGGGGAGGCAGGCAGGGCTGATAGTGGAGGGGCCTGTACTGAATATTAAGGAATTTACACTTGATTTTGTAGGCCAGTATTCTCAACCTTGCCTAATGATAAGGCCATTGTTAACATGCAGATTCCCAAGCATCTGCCCTGGAGATTCTAGTCTGTTAGGTCTGGGCTGGAATTTGAATATTTAACATCCAGTCTAGATGATTTTATCATCAGGCATTTTGGGGAATCTCTGCTTTAGTCCTTGGAAACCCTGAGAAGCGTTTAAAGTCTTTTGACAGACCCCTCTGTTGGCTGCTTGGGACATGGATTTGGGGGAATCAGACTACAGGGTGAAGAGGCAGAGTCTTTTGTATTTGCCCAGCCTTGAAATGATGCAAAGTTTGGCAGTAGGAATGGAGAGACATTGCAGGTCAAATAAGAAGGTTTTAATAAATGGGTGCAAGTAAGGGAGAAAGCTTTGGGATGATACCCAGGAGTCACTGTGTGCAGGATGGTGCCCACGGCTGACAAAGGGAACATAAGAGATGAAGCTGGCCACAGAGGAATTGAGAGTGAGGTTGGTTGGAGGCCATCCTGCACTGATGTCCAGTAAGCACGCAGAAGTGTGGAGCTGAAGCGCCCATCTGATCTGGGCAGTGAGAACTGATTCTGAGTCAGGCAGGTGAAACCATGGGGGTGGGTAAGATCCCCAAGGGGATCCCCAAGGGGCAGGGGCCAAGGGTGAAGCCCTGGGAAACACGAACATTCGGGGCAGCAGACTTGGTGTTTGGAACGGGCTCCTCTGGGCCAGCCCCCTGGTGGTCTGGAAAAGGCAAGGTGTTTTCAGTAGGAGAGCAGCACTGCAGAGCGAGGATGTAGCAGTTTCTTCCCAGGAGTGCAGAAGGTCAATCTTTGGGAAATCTAGAGGTGCACAGTGTTCCAGGCAGGAATGAGGTACATTGACCTTAATCCTGGCAGCCTGGCGAGCCCTGTGTCCTCCTTTCTGGTGACAACCATCTCTAGGTAACAGCTTCTGGCTCATTTATCATGAGCAGGTGAGATGCAGGGGTGGGTCTCGCTGTAGGTGAGATAGGAGGAAGTGAACTGCGTGGTCCTGCCCTGCCCGAACCCAAGACTTTGGGGAGGTCAGGTCCTGAGTGCCCTGTCCCTAGCACTGAGCAGGCTGAGCAAGGCTGGAGTTGGTGGAACAGGGAAGTCAGGATGGAAATAAAGGGGGCACGAGCAGGGGTCCGGGGTAATTTCCAACAGGGAGACGAAGCTGCTCAGTGGGGTCTCTCTCTAAGGGGTGCCTTATTTATGCTTGGGATGTTCAAGGTTTTCTGAGCTGGAGGCTTCATAGATAGACTAGTGCAGAGTTTTCCAAATGTTCTTGGTTCCTTTAGGCCAAAAGAAATAACTAACAGCTTTGCTTCTTAAGTAGTTGGGTCCAACAACTTAAAAAAGGATTTCTGTCCTAACACGTCCTGAGAGCATAACACGTCCCTAGACGTGGAGACAAGCTGTTCTCTTTGGGGTAAATTCCAATATCACTTTCGAATCGAGTTGAAGCTTGCGATTTTAGGGGGCCGACATCTCTCCTATAGGTGCAAAAGCACTTTCATTATTTCAGAAGCAGTCTGATAGCTACTTGTGGTCAGTTTTTGGGCAAATTGTGATACTTTCTGAAGTC